ATAACATAACATAACATAACATAACATAGGTTGGGCATGGGGGCTCACACTTGTAATCCCAGCACTTTGGGAGGCCAAGGTGCGTGGTCGCTTGAGGTCAAAAGTCCGAGACCAGTCTGACCAACGTGGAGAAACCTCATCTCTACTAAAAATGCAGAAATTAGCCAGACAGAGTGGTGTGAACCTGTAATCCCAGCTTCTTGGAAGGCTGAGGCAGAATTGCTTGAACCCAGGAGGTGGAGGTTGCAGTGATCCGAGATCATGACACTGCACTCCAGCCTAGGCTACAAAGTGAGACTCTGTCTTTAAAAAAAATAAAAATAAATAAATAAATAAAAATTGTGACCTGAAAAAAAAAGAAAGCTGATAAAATGGAACAAAAGTATGGAAGGGCAAACAATCTGGAATATATAGCACCGACACATTCCGTCAACTTCATAAATACTGACAAGAAGGAGATACAGGGAGGGAAGGCCATTGAGTAAAGTTGGGATGTTATCCCAATACCACCACCATACAAGGGCCGAGCTGAGCCACTGTGGACTCACCGCCGACTGTAATCCCAGGCACTTTGGGAGGCCAAGTGGTGCGTGCCAATCACCAAGGTCAGGAGTTCGGGAGACCAAGCCGACAATCATGGTGAGACGCATGCTTTGCTAAAAAACACATAAAAATAGCCGGGGCGTCGTGGTACGTGCCTGTAGATCCCAGCTATCAGGGATGGTTGAAGGCAAAGAATGAGACAGCGCTGAACACGTAAGAGGTTGGGAGATTGCAGGGGGAGGCAGGGAGCATCACGCCGATCGGCATCGTTCCGATACTCTGAGGCAACAGAGAGCTCCGTCTCGCAAAAAAAAAAAAAAATTATATATATATATATACACATACACACACACACATTCAAAGTAGTTGATATAAGAGTATAATCAAAGAAATGAAGTGGGAAGACGGGGAAACCCTCTAGGCCCAGAATAAACAGACACAAATAAACAGAGCTTCAGAGCTTCAGACAGCCTCATCAGCAAGTGAATAATTACAGTCTTCTTCAATAAGATAACATGAGTAATTTAGTTCAGAATAAAGTCATTAACCTTAACCAACAATAACCTCCCACCTGCAGAGAACAGCTACTGACTACAAGAGACTGAACCTCTACAGACACAGAGAACCCAGAAGCAAGAACCCTTCCGGATAGGAACTAGCAAACTGGGACACTTATAATTTTTGTATTCAAAAATCAGGACTACTACATATCTTTGACAATCAGATGTCTCATGTATGCACTGCAACAAACGGTTCATGGTAATCCACATCTACATTATTTGGCATATAGAAGCCTACCTGATGGTGGTGAGGAGAGGAATCTTAGAAGATACACAGCTGCTGTCAAAAATTCTGCAAAATAGAGAGAGTAAGACATTATTTTGTTTCTTAAAAACTTTCTGAAATAAATATCAGTGTATTTAACAAGCTTCTCATTAATTCACGGTATGAAATACATAATTGTCATTTAAAAATATGTAGGATCAGGCCAGGTTTAGAGGCCTATGCCTGTAATCCACAGGCGGATCACCTGAGGCCAAGAGTATGAGACCAGCCTGGGCAATACAGTGAGACCCATCTGTGCAAAAAATTTAAAAATTAGCTGGGCGTGGGGCACATGCCTGTAGTCCAAGCTACTCAGGAGGCTGAGGTGAGAAGATCACTTAAGCCCAGGAGTTTGAGATTACACTGAGCTATGATCACACTACTGCACTCCAGCATGAGCAACAGAGCAAGACCCTGTCTACAAAAAAAAACAGCAGGGGTAGGATCAGGCTCCAACAAATCTTGGCTAAAATACTAAACAAAAGTTGCAAGACGTTTTATAAAATAAGTCAGTGCTTACAGTTTAGTGTAGAAATCATTTGGCTGGCTGTTGTGGCTCATGCCTGTAATCTCAGCACTTTGAGGCCAAGGTGGGAGGATCACTTGAGGCCAGGAGTTTGAGACCAGCCTGGGCAATATAGTGAGACCCTATCTCTACAAAAAAAATAAAAAATAATAATAATAGCTAGGTATGGTGGCGCATACCTCTAGTCCCAGCTACTTGGAAGCTAAGGCAGTAAGATTGCTGGAGCCCAGCCAGTCAGGGTTGCAGTGAGCCATGATCATGCCACTGCACTCTAGCCTGGGCAACAAAGAGATCTTGTCTCTAAAAAAAACATTAATAATGATAAATGAATAGAAATAAAATGCACATTCTAAAGTGATAATCTGAACTGTAAAATTATATCCACAATTCACAATAATATGGGACATAAAGGATATGGTCTGAAAATGTACAAATCACCTAAAAGTACATCTGTGTATCAAGAGCAGTTTCCCTGAGACTCATCAGTTGAAGGCCTGATAGTGTCATTTCCAGACTAAGATCAACCAGCAACCAAGGAGGAGTTGTGTTTTGGTTTTCAAGAGACAGCATCTCAGCTGATGCCCAGGCTGAAGTGCAATGGCACTGTCACAGGTCACCGAACCCTCAACCTCCCAGGTTCAAGTGATCCTTCCACCTCAGCCTCCCAAGTAGCTGGGACTATAAGCACACAATACCATGTCTGGCTAATTTTTTATGTAAAGACAGGGTCTCTTTCTGTTGCCCAGGCTGGTCTCAAACTCCTGGGCTCAAGTGATCCTCCCACCTCAGCCTCCCGAAACGCTGGGATTATAGGCATAAGCCACTACACCTGGCCAAAGAAAGGAGATTTTATACAGCAGTTAGAGAACAGTCTAGAAGCCTCCACTGAGCACTTCAGCAGAAGGAAACTAACAGCATCACCACCTCCTTCTTCTCTTCTCCTTGTGCCTAGCTTTTCTAGTATGGTTGCTTGGCATTAGAGCTTATTGCCTAAATAGATTAGTAGAAAGCCAAACCACTAATAGTTAATGTAACAAGACTAAACTGCAGTGTAAATGAACAGGAACAGAACAGGTAGCTTTCGAGACAAAGGAAACTGAATGAGTGGAAAGGGGATGCTGGCCTACCATTCCCTGGTGACTCTCTTTCTGCACCATCTGGTAATACTCACAGACTTTGCTAGAAACTAACTGGACAACTGTCACACACGCAGACCACACTCTTCCCAACAGGTGGGTTTAAACAGAAACTGGGTGCCATTCTGGAGCCTGGTGCACAGTATACATTCAACTGAATAATGTAGGAATTCCAAAATAGCTTAAGGTAAAACTCTTAGAAACTGAAAAGGGCTTGCAATTTTAAGCAAAATCAGGGATTCTAAAAGAGAACAAAATAATTTTCCTTTGTGATTACACTAATGTTCCCGACATCTTTATTGACAGTTTTGTTTTTTGTTCAATTGGTTTATATTACACTTTAAATCCATTTTTGGGAAGTAGCTATAGAAAAGTACTAAAGCTAAAACCCTAGAACTATAAAACCATATCCAATAGCTTGTATAGAACCCCAGTTTTTGCTATTTTCTGTCTGCTCACGGTCTGGGGCTCTGCAATTTCCATTCAGCACTTCACTTGCAGTATAGATCACACTGACCCCAAAGTATGCTAAAATTATCTCCTTCTCACAGCCTGGTTTCGGGGATTCTTCAGTGCTTAAAGGAAAGCTGGACCATAAACCCCTCAGGGTAGCTACGGACCTTTGCCAGTCTCAAGGAAATTTCCAGGACCCAAAAACTGCTGAAAAGCCATTAAATACAGGTCATCAGTCTTTAGGAACCTAGATATGACTACTAAACAATAACATTAGCAATTTAATAGGGAACAGCAGTAAACAAAGCTTTTGGTTTACTGACACAATAGCTATAGAATCTTTACATTCCTTAAAAACATTTCTACCTTCCCAATTTACCTCAGATTACAATCGGCACATGTGGTCACCACTCTGTTACCAGTAAGAGGTGAAAAATAGGCAGAAGCAATGCTCTTTGTATGTTCAGTCAAAGAAATCAAAGGCTGACTTCCCCTGGACTTCAGTTGCCTTGCATCATAAATATGAGTATCCCTGTAATGGGAGAAACAATGATCAATGTTGCCATAGTACATGTAATGAGCCTCTACAACAGGGTTAAACATAAGTTAGACACTCACATACTTGCTATACTGAGGAACATTTAAGACACAACTCTCGGCTGGGCGCGGTGGGTCGTTTGTAATCCCAGCACTTTGGAATGCCGAGGCAAGCGGATCACCTGAAGTCAGGAGTTCGAGACCAGCCTCAACATGGAGAAACCCCGTCTCTACTAAAAATACAAAATTAGCTGGCCATGGTGGTGCATGCCTGTAATCCCAGCTACTCAGGAGGCTGAGGCAGGAGAATTGCTTGAACCTGGGAGGCAGAGGTTGCGGTGAGCCAAGATCACGCCATTGCACTCCAGCCTGGGCAACAAGAGCAAAACTCCGTCTCAAAAAAAAAAAAAAAGACAGAACTCTACTCGGGAAGGTGAGGCAGAAGAATCGCTTGAACATGGGAGGCGGCAGTTGCAGTCAGGTGAGATTGCGCCACTTCACTCCAGCCTGGGCAAAAGAGCAAGACTCCATCTCAAAAAAAAAAAAAAAAGATAGCACCCTCTAATACTCCATTAGTTTTCCCAAAACTGGTATAGATAACAAGTACAATACTAGACACGTTCCAAAACTATAGCAGATACATGGATCCAGTGCATATAGAAAGACAAGTTTTTTGTTTTGTTTTGTCTTTTTTGAGATGGAGTCTCACTCTGTCATCCAGGCTGGAGGGCAGTGGTGCAATCTTGGCTCACTGCAACTTCTGCCTCCTGTGTTCAAGTGATTCTCCTGCCGCAGCCTCCCAAGTAGCTGGGATTACATGTGCATGCCACCACACCTGGCAATTTTTTGTATTTTTAGTAGAGACAGGGTCTCACCATATTGGCCAGGCTGGTCTCAAACTCCTGACCTCAAGTGATCTGCCTGCCTCAGCCTCCCAAAGTGCTGGGATTACAGGCATGAGCCACCACGCCCGGCTGTCAAGTTTCTAGTTGGTTTTTCAATCCTTCCAAGAAAAAAGCTAACACAGGCCAACAAGTTATAGGTCACATATAACTTTTTTCCCTTAAAATTTAAACTTTCTTCTCGTAAGATCAGAAGCAAATACATGATCAGAAGCAAATACATGGCAAATACATGGCAAAATGCCAAGAAAAAAAATTTCTTTCAGCATTTTCACTATTTATTAAATCTAAAAGTATTTATTTTAAAAAAAAAATCACTCAAGTCTCAATCAGTGTAGAAAGGAAAATTACTTGGCCTTTGGGTATTACAAAAGTAATACCTTTTGTAATATTTTATTACAGTATCTTTGACAACCAAACTAACCCATGTAATTTTGACATTAAAAGGTCTAAGTCATAAAGTCTTATAAAGACCATACCTCAATCCGGCAGTGATAAAATACTGTCTATGCACTGGGTGGACATGAACAGTTCTTATTTTTCCCATAGAAGAACTGGTAAGTTTCTCATAAGAAGTTCCAGGTGTCCGTCTATCCACCAGTGACATATTTCCATCCCAGTGTCCTACTATCAAAGTGGAGGCATCTTCTGACAAGAAGTCGAAGGAGGAAAAGCTACTTCTTTCATTTCTATACACCTAAGAATATAAGTAACAATCAGCTTGTATCACACTCTTCTTGTAAAGAAAGCCAAAACAGCCAGGCGCGGTGGCTCAAGCCTGTAATCCCAGCACTTTTGGAGGCCGAGACGGGCGGATCACGAGGTCAGGAGATCCAGACCATCCTAGCTAACATGGTGAAACCCCGTCTCTACAAAAAATACAAAAATTAAGCCGGGCGCGTGGGTGGCAGGCGCCGGTAGTCCAGCTACATGGAGGCTGAGGCAGAAGAAAGGCAATAAAACCTTTGGGAGGCAGAGCTTGTAGTGAGTGGAGATCCCGCCCATGCACTCCAGCCTGGGCGACAGAGTGAACTGCCGTCTCAAAAAAAAAAAAAAGAAAGCCAAAACATAAATTCTTGGTAAAAGGGTTATAAAACACTTTACCCAAATAACCTCATTTCCTCCTCTCATTCATCCCCATCAGATGCACAAGACATAATGGAACACAGTCGCGGTATTTGGGGGTGTCCATTGCCTTGAATATTTATCATTTCTTTTTTTTTTTTTTTTTTTTTTTGAGGCGGAGTCTCTCGCTCTGTCAGCCCAGGCTGGAGTGCATGGCGCGATCTCGGCTCACTGCAAGCTCCGCCTCCCGGGTTCCCGCCATTCTCCTGCCTCAGCCTCCCAAGTAGCTGGGACTACAGGCGCCGCCACCACGCCGGTTAATTTTTTTGTATTTTTAGTAGAGACGGGTGTTTCATTGGTTAGCCAGCGGATGGAGTCTCGATCTCCTGACCTCGTGATCCACCCGTCTCGGCCTCCCAAAGTGCTGGGATTACAGGCTTGAGCCACCGCGCCCGGCCGAATATTTATCATTTCTATGTGCTGGGAACATTTCAAGTCCTCTCTTCTGGGTATTTTAAAATATACAATACACTGTTGTTAACTATAGTTACCCTATTCTGCTACTGAACATTAGAACTTATTCCTTCTATCCAACTGAAAATTAAAAAAAAAAAAAAGGAAACAAAGGCACTGATCAGCTGTGTCTACAACTAAATGGCCCATCTACCCATGTCAGGGCTACATCCCAAATCTCTCAAACCCAATAAACCTCAGTTCCAGATCTACCCTGTGAAACTTAACAGGAAAAGAACTGAATCTGAATTCTACCCAATTGAAATTATATTTTAATATGCAAAGTAACTTTGCCAACCAAGTCCAAGATACACAGCTGAATGCTCACCTACTCTTAGTAGAAGAGTAAATATATACATTTTTTGACAGTTAATCAGGCTACATCTATCAAAATGATTAATGCTTATACTTTTGGACCCAGTAATTTCACTAAGAGATCCGTAACAATGTCTGCTGCAAGATTGCTTATAATAGCAATAAGAAGCAACATAAATATCCACCGAGAGAGATCTGGTTAAATAAATGACGGTCCACCTCTACTTTGAAATACCACACAATGCTAAAAAGAATAAGGTAGTTTTATAGCATTAACTGTCCAAGATATACTATTAAGTGAAAAGAGTTGCAAAAGGCTATGTATATTAGTATGAAGCCATTAGTATAAAGAAGAGGAGAAAAAAATGTGTAACTATATGCTTTGTAAGCACAGGTATACTTCGTGGAAGCATACTCAAGATACGCAACAATGGTTACTTGTGGATAATGCAAATGAAGGACAGACAGATTTACTTTTATATCTGAGTTACTGTAAATATTTTATCATGAGCATTTTTTTTTTTTTTTGGGACGAAGTCTCACTCTGTTGCCCAGTCTGGAGTGCAATGGCACAATCTCGGCTCACTGCAATCTCCTCCTCCCAGCTTCAAGTGATTCTCCTGCCTCAGCCTCCCAAGTAGCTAAGATTACAGGTGCGCACCACCACGCCCAGCTATATCTTGAGCATGTTATTAAGTTTTTAATCACATGTAATCCACAATGCAATCACTTTGGGTTTAGGACTCATGCATATAAAGAATAAAAAATAAATCTTCCTGTCAACTAAGAGGGGATGACCACAATTCTTACTGTTGAATCATGAATTGCTGATTTTTAGTTTTAAAAACAAGTATTATAAACTAAGAATAAATTAATATACTAAAGGCATCACAACCTTCACACCCCACAAAAAGACCAATATATACAAATGAAACTTGGCATACTCAATATATTTAAATGATTAAGAGCAGGGGCTTTGGAGTCACACAAATCCTGGTGTAAATTCTTGTTCTGCCATCTATGTCCTTGAGCAACATCATAAACCTCTCTTTGCCTCAGTTTTTTCACCTGTTAAATGCAATAACATTACTCATTTTCTAGGCTGTTATAAGGCTTAATGATGTATATAAAGCACACTCAAGATAGTGCCTAGTATAAGGTACCTGTTCAGTCAGTGGTAACTGAAACAAATTACAAATACGTGCAATAGCATGAATGAATCTTAAGTGTTACACCAGGTAAAAGAAGCCAGAAACAAAAGGCTATATATCATTTAATTCCAAATGCTTGACATTCAGGAAAAGGCAAAATTATAGGGACAGTAATCACATCAGTGGTTACCAGGGATTGCAGACAGTGGGAGAATGACTACAAAAGGTTATGATGTAGTTTTGAGGGAAATGGAAATTTTCTTTTTTTTTTTTCTGAGATGGAGTCTCACTCTGTCACACAGGCTGGAATGCAATGGTGCAATCTTGGCTCACTGTAACCTCCGCCTCCTGGGTTCAAGTGATTCTCCCTGGCCCAGCCTCCTGAGTAGCTGGGATTACAGGCGTGAGCCACCATGCCCGTCTAATTTTTTGTATTTTTAGTAGAGACAGGGTTTCGCCATGTTGGCCCTGTCGGTCTCGAACTCCTCATCTCAAGTGATCCACTGCCTCAGCCTCCCAAAGCGCCGGGATTACAGGCATGAGCCACCAATGCCCGGCTCATATAGCATGATTAATGAAGTAGATTAACAGCCAGGTGTACACAATTACAAGAACACACGAATTGTACACCGTAAATGGTAAATTGGTACCATATCGTACCTTTTTTTTGTTTTTTTTTTTTGAGAGTCTCCCTCTGTCACCCAGACTGGAGTGTCAGGTGGACCACAATCTCAGCTTACTGCAGCCTCCTGCGTCCCAGATTAAGTGATTCCTCATGCTCAGGCCTTCGGTACTGGGACCACAGGTGCACCTTACGCTATAGCCGGCTAGTTGCTTTGTATTCTTAGTAGAAGGGCAGTTCGCACTATGCTGGCCAGGCGGTGCTTGAGAACTCACTGTGAGCTCAAGTGATCCACCCTCCCGTTAGCCTCCCAAGCAGTGCTGAGATTACAGGTGTGACTACCGTGGACTGACCCCTATTCTGTTGTGATTTATTGCAATAATGCGGGTATGAACTTTCATGTATCATAAGTTTTTGTGTGACCTATCTGCTTTCATTCTCTTGGAGTTATAGCCTAGGTAGGGATTGCTAGATCATATGGGTAAACTCTGTTTGACATTTACGAACTGTCAAACTTTCCGCCAACGCAACGTATACCCATTTTACATTACAAATTCTCAATGGGATGAAAGAGTTTCAAATTTTCCACACTCATATGCCACACACTTTTATATACTGGCAGATGATAGTTATCCCTAGGAGTGTTAAAGTGGTATCTACTTGTGATATTGGCATTTCCCTAGTGCTTAGAATCTTTTCATCGTGCTTATTGCCTTTGTGGTGTTTTTGTTTTCTTTTTAAGACAGAGTTTGCTCGTGTCGCCCCAGGCTAACGTGCAGTGGACGTCTCAGCTCACTGGAAAACCCACACTCCTGGGATTCAAGCGATTTCCTGCCTCAGCTCTCCAGTAGGCTGGACTCAGTGCCCTGCACCTACCCTTGGGACTAATTTTTGTATTTTTAGTTAGAGAATAGGGTTCCACCAATGTTGGCCAGGCTGGTCTCAAACTCCTGGACCTCAGGTGTATACACTGCTCAGACCTCACAAAAGTGCTGCGGATTACAGTGTGAGCCACTACGCCCAGATGCCATTTTCTGTTCTTTAGAGAAATGTTATTCAGATCCATTTGCCCATTTTTTAATTGGGATTAGCTTTTTTAATGAAGCTGTTAAGGAGTTCTCTCAGTAGTTGTTTTAAAGTCAAGGCTATTGAAATATAAGTTACAGCCGTGCGTGGTTAGTGCCTCACGCGCTGTAATTTCCGCACTCTTGAAGGTCAAGGTGGGGATCATGAGAGCTCAGACGTATTGAGACCAGCGCCTGGGCACATGGCAAAACATCATTCTACTAAACAAATACAAAAATTAGCCAAGACATGGTGACACATGGCCTATAGTTCAGCACGTACCCAGGAGGCTTAGCGGGGAGATCACTTGAGCCAGGAGGCAAGGCTGCGTGAGCGAGATCAAGCACTCACTCAGCTGGAGTGACGAGTTAGAACTCACATCTCAAAAAAATGAAATAAATATAGGCCAGCATGGTGGCTTTCACACCGTAATCCCAATATTTGGGAGCCAAAGTGGGTGGATCACTGAGGTCGAGTTCAGACCCAGCTGGCAACAAGTGGTTGAACCATCTCTACTAAAAATACAAAAATTAGCCAGGCGCGGTGGCACGTGCCTATAATCCCAGCTACTCGGGAGCCTGAGGCAGGAGAATTGCTTGAACCCAGGAGGCAGAGGTTGCAGTGAGCCAAGACTGCACCACTGCACTGCCACCTGGGCAACAAGAGCAAGACTCTGCTTCAGAAATAAATATATAAATAAATAATTTAAACACAAATGTTCGGCTGGGTGTGGTGGCTCATGCCTGTAATCCCAGCGTTTTAGGAGACCGAGGTGGGCGGATCACAAGGTCAGGAGATCGAGACCATCCTAGCTAACACGGTGAAACCCTGTCTCTACTAAAAATACAAAAAAAAATTAGCCGGGCGTGGTGGCGGGCGCCTGCAGTCCCAGCTTCTCGGGAAGCTGAGGCAGGAGAATGGCACGAACCCAGGAGGCGGCAGAGCTTGCAGTGAGCAGAGATCACGCCACTGCACTCCAGCCTAGGCGACAGAGCGAGACTCCGTCTCAAAAAAAAAAGAAGAAATACAAATGTTCATCAACTGATGAACAGATGAATAAAATGTGGAATACCCATACAATGGCATATTATGCAGCACCCATTACAATCGCGCTATTATGCAGCCATTAAAACAGGAATGACATAGCTGATACCATGGCGCTATCAACATGTGATGAACTTTGAATTAGGCATTTTTTAAAGAAATCATGTCCACAAACGACCACAAATTGTAAGATTTCATTTATGTGAAATGTTCAGAATAGGAAATCTGGCCAGACGCAGTGGCTCTACGCTTGTTATATCTCGCTCTGAGCACTTTGGGAGGCTGAGGCACGTTGGATCACAAGGTCAGGTTCCCAGACGCCTAGCCTGCCAATATGATGAAACGCTCATCTCGGCGGGCGCAGTGTCACGCCTGTAAATCAGCACTTGGTGAGGCCGAGCAGGCAGATCACGAGATCAGGAGATGGAGTGAGTGTGCGCGTATCCTGGCGGTACCCGCGGTGAAACCTGTCTCTACCAAAAACACAAAAAATTAGCCGGGCGTTTGAGCGGGCCTGTAATTTTTGTTTTAGTTCCGTGTCCAGCTACCTCGCCCAGGAGGAATGGACGTGAACCCAGGAGGTGGAGGTTGCAGTGAGTCGAGATCGCACCACTGCACTCCAGCCTAGGCACAGATACAGGCTCTGTCCAAAAAAAAAAAAAAAAAAAAGAAAAAGAAACCCCATCTCTACTAAAATACAAAAAATAAGCTATCTGGC